GGGGCAGGAGCAGGTTCAGGAGAAGGGGAAGGGGAAGGGGTAGGTTCATGAGCAGGGACAAATTTAGATTCAGATTCAGATTCACTATCTTCCTCTTCTTCTAAGACAGTTGTGCTCTTAAAAGCTCCACTATTAGACCCACCAACTCTTTTACTAGCCTCATTTATGTCAACAACACATAAAGGTGCAGCATGAGTCACATAAATATCTAAGGTATCCCCATCTTCCAATTCATTACAAATGTCTAAAATATCCTTATCTGTGAGAATATTTACCAATTTATCTGTCATATCCATTGGACAAATATACAACTCAGCCACATTTTGAAAGTCATGGATCCTAGTGTAGTTCATCAGTTCAATAAGAGACAGTAAATCCACATCTACATCTAAAGTTAATGTTTGACTATCACCCACATAACGAGCAAAGTTATCAGAAACTAATACCCCATCATGGTACCACCTGAGGGTAATGATTTTAAAAGACATTATCTGCAAACAAACAAGGGACAAATAAATGAACTTTCCACATGCAACAATTGAAAATAAAGAACTACAAATGAAATATAAAAGTGGAGACAAAGACAAGAGCATATCACATTGTTCAAAGCAATGCTATTACAATAATCAGTTAAACTCTAACTTTACACACGGTTTGCAAACACAAGACAAATCTTTTTTATAAAAAAACTATCTGTAAAGGCAACAAGACGACAACTTCACAGTCATATAGACAATGACAAAAGATTCTCTTTTTAAAAAGTCCGATAACCCTAAGCAAAATAGTAGAAATTTCAAAAAACCCTAGGTTCAACCCCACCCACTACTAAAATAAATGGGTAATGCAAGGAGAAGAAAATTACTAACCTATTAACTGCATAAATCCATCGGAAATCCACGATGAAAGCGTAGCTTGAGATGGTCGCCGGAATCGCCTTTACAGTAGCTCCTTCTAGATGTATCGGATTTTGAGTACTGACTTGGGTAAGTTTGGTTTTAACGCTTTTACCTTGTGGGTCGGGTAGGGTCAGTTAGGGTCGGGTAGGGTCGGGTTAGTTATTATAAGGTAATGGGTTAAAATTATGTAAATTCAAACGCGTGACATACACGGATATCTTATTAACAGGATCTGGTCAAAGGAGGTGGGTACTAGATACACTTTAGAAAGGTTTCTTGTGTAAGGTTATTATCGTCCATAGAAAGTGTGTAAGGGGGATTTGGACCAAAGGTTGGGTGGTAAACTATGTATTAAGCCTTATAAATAAAAAAAAGTAACATACGAAATAGAAGTATTATAAAAAAAAAAGGTAGGGTAAATGATAAAATGAGATTATTTAATAAATAAGGAAGGGCAAGATGAGAGGAAAAAATAAGGTAACGACGCGACCAAATCGGTCGTTCCATAAAATGGCACTTTTCATCGTTGCATAACAACAATTTTAACGATACATACTATAAAATTTAAGTAACAACCTAAACAAATATTGTGCTTAAAGTAACAATACTATACAATACAATAATTAACAAGGAAAAATGACACTATATAGCCGCTCTCAAAATAATAGCCGAAAAATATAAATTTTTGTACATTTTTTGTATATATATACATTATGTATGTTATATACAAAAATTATATAAATTTCATTCATTTTTTCAGCTACCGAATGTAAGTATAAATTAAAAGTGATAATACATCCAAACAAGCTGAATGGTGGTTTGTATCAATGGTCATAGCAACAAAGGTTTTTCGGTAATGGGAAATATTTTTCACCAAGGCAAAGTATCTTTTCATGTTTTCACACACTCAAAAAAAGTAAAATTAAAATTTTCTATAACGTCATACTTACGGTGGTAATAGGTTCATCTGAAAAAGAGTCCAAACGACAAAAGGACCTAAAAAAATGCAGGTGTACAATTGAAAATTCAAAAATAGTTCAGGCATTGTCACGACCCGAAGTTTTCACCTTCGGGAGTCGTGATGGCACCTACTAATGTAAGCTAGGCAAGCCAACTCTTAACTATCTACTACCTTTTTCATATTACTTCTTTTTAAAACAAACATAGGGCGACAATATAAATAAAATGGAAGTTAGAAAATAGGCGGAAGTCAACATTTATAAAGCTTAGAGCTACGTCTATTACTACTTTTAAGCTTTAACACCCCAAAATATGGTGTCACAGTACCACAGACTATCTAAGAGTCACTACATATAAAGTCTGAAGAAAATACATAGTACTGTTCCTGAGCAAGAGATAAAGGAAACAGGAAATAAAGATAGAGAGAGACGCCAGGGCCCGCGGACGTTTGCAGGTCTACCTTGGGTCTCCGGATGGACTGAAGGAAGCCCTCTAACTACTGTCCGAAAGCTACTCCAGGATCTGCACACAATGCATAGTGTAGTATCAGCACAACCGACCCCATGTGCTGGTAAGTGCCTGGCCTAACCCTGGCGAAGTAGTGACGAGGCTAGGACCAGACTCCAGACAAACCTGTGCAGTTATATAATATATGGCGGAAAAGTAAACAGGTAATAAGCAATTAAAGCTGGGGAAGAGAAACATGCCTGGGGGATAGCTGATAAAGCAAAATAGCAAGGAATAAATAAGGAAGCTGACAATATAACTTCTAACACAGATAAAGAAAAGTAAAGACAACTTTCACTTTCAGTTTCCATCTTGTTGCAGGCGTGCAACCCGATTCCATTTCTCATATCTTACGGTAGGCGTATCACCCGCTCCCATTTCATAATATCTTGTGGTAGGCGTACCACCCGCTCCCATTTCATAATATCTTGTGGTAGACATACCACCCGCTCCCATTTCATAATATCTTACAATTTCAAGAAATCCCAGCAAGGGAAAATAATAAATATAATAACTTCCCGGCAAGGGAACACAACAATGTAATAATTTTCCCGGCAAGGGAACAACAATATTGAAATAGTCATTCCAGCAAGGGAGAATCAGCTATAACCAATCTCAACTTAGCTTGTACTCAGTTCAATTATTGAAAATGCTCAATCATAGAAGATCATTAAGTAACGCACCCAAGTGTCATTTAAGAACACAACAACTTTCAATTTAAGACTCACGGTCATGCTTGACACCAACGTATAGATACTCGTCACTATGCCTATACGTCGTACTCAACAAGAAGCAAGTAGCAAATATGACTCAACTCCTAATCCCTCAAGCTAGGATTAGACCAAACACTTACCTTGATGCCTTGATCACCACTCAAGTCTCAACTATAGCTTTACCCCTTGATTCCACCACCAATCCACTCGAATCTAGTCACAAGTTACTTAATTACATCAATAAGTGCTAAATGAATCAACCCCAATGCATGAAAATGAATTTTCCCAAGGTTTTACCCCGTTTTGAAATCGGACCTCAAATTGAGGTCCAAATCCTCAATTTTAGAAAAACCTAGGTTCTACCCAAAACACCCAATTTTCCCCATGAAAATCTTTGATTTGAAGTTGAAATCATGTTAAAAGATGTTAAGGAGTGAAGAAAATAAGTTAGAAATCACTTACCAACGTTTTGGAGAAGAAAGGTTGTTTGAAAAATCGCCTATTATATTTTTGGAGTTTTGAAAAGTGAAAAATAACTGAAATTCCCGTTTATTTATACCCCTTTTAGACCCCAGTGCGGACCGCATCAAATATACCGCGGCCGCAGAGCCTCCACTGCGGACCGTACAAAGGCGACCACGGTCGCGCTGGCCCCTCCATGAAGACCTGCAGTTCAGCACCCTTTTCGAACCGCATAAAGGCGACTGCGGCCGCACAGCCTCCACTGCGGACTGCATAAAGGCGACCGCGGCCGCGCTGGCCCCTTCGCGGTCGCACGCGATTTCTCGCGTACTGCACTAAAGGGTTCAGAGACTGCAACTTCCTGAACCTGCAACATCTGACTTTCTAAGCCTAAGGCATTCCGAAACCCACTCGAAACTCACCCGAGCCCTCGAAACTCCAACCCAAGTATACACACAACCTCAAAAACATTCTACGGACATATTCGTGTAATCAAATTACCAAAATAACATCACGAGCATCGAATTAAACCTCGAGATCAATAAAATATCTCAAAACTCTTTTAAACATCAAATATCTCAATTAAGGTCCGGATCACGTCAAACGACGTCCGTTTTTAACCAAATTTCACAAGAATGACTGAAGTCATATATAAGACCTGTACCGGGCGCCGGAACCAAAATACATACCATTGCTTTCTAATCAGTTTTCATTTCAAATTTCCTTAAACAATTTTTGAAAATAATTTCACTTAAAAATTCATTTCTCGAGCTTGGGACCTCGGAATTCGATTTCGGGCATACGCCTAAGTCCCATATTTTCCTACAGACCCTCCGGGACTGTCGAATCATGGATCCGGGTCCGTTTACCCAAAATATTGACCAAAGTCAAATTTATTCATTTCAACATCAAAACTTAGCATTTTTTTTCACAGAGTTTCATATTTAAGCTTTCCGGCTATGCGCTCGGACTGCGCACGCAAATTGAGGCGGCTCTTATGAGGTTTTCAAGGTCTCGGAGACACAGAAATCAACTGAAAGCAAGTGATGACCCTTTGGGTCGTCACAGGTATAGTTATGCATTTTTACTATTATAATCTTCAACTTGTATCAAAATTTAATTTGATATATTTAATTCTATTATAAAATTATAAGATTTGATACAAAACACGGTATTTTTCGGTAAAAGCTTACGTGCATGGGTGTTTACAACTGACTAATAAACAAATGACGCATGTGATTTTATTTAACTAAAAAATTATTAGTACTTAATTATAATTAATTATCGCGTGTCTTGCAAAGGATCTTATTTAATAATATAAAAACACTTAATAGCAGTAGATTGACGCTTTTTCTTTCATGACTAACCACGTCCCAAAGGCCATAACTGGTCATTACTAACTATCATTAAGAGAGCAATAGAAACCGTCATATAAAAAAGCTATCTAATTCCTCTCTCGGAAATGGATCCCCAACCCTATGAACAACAACAACACACAATACCTCCTAAACCCCCAGATATTGATCAAAGCATGATCAAATCTAGCTTCAAAGATATGCTTACCACTTCGAACCCTTTACTCTTCACCAATATTGAAAATCATCAAGATATAGACCTCCTAATGATGGACTCAGAAGATCAAGTAGTTGATCAATCAATCTTAACGACCTCAAAGGGTATCAAATTCATAACACTCTCTGATGAGGAGAAGGTACGAATCTATGAGCCATGGAAAAATTCCATCATAGTAAAGCTAGTGGGCAAGCGTATGTTACACCACTATCTAAAGAGAAAAATTCAAGAACTATGGAAACCAACTGAAGATTTCCAGTTGATTGACCTTGGAGTAGATTACTACATAATCAAATTCAAGAAAAAGGAAAATATGGACAAGGTAATGCATCAAGGCCCTTGGTTCATTAACGGACATTTCCTCTCTATTACTGGATGGAAACCAAACTTTGTTTCCACTCAAGAGAAAGTCACAAACTCTGCAGTATGGATTAGACTTCCTCAATTACCTACAGAATTTTACGATGGCAAAATTCTGGAAAAAATTGTTAATGCAATTGGCCGGCTCCTAAAAATTGATGTTTGCACATCAACAAGTCTGAGAGGTCATTATGAAAGATTATGTGTGAAATTACCATTGAAAGCTCCAGTTCAACCGTTCATCTATGTTGACCACCACAAACAAGCAATACACTACGAAGGTGAAAATTTTCTTTGTGAAAACTGTGGACAATTGGGGTACATAGCACAAAAATGCTCCTTTATTATTCAGAAAAATAGAGATAGAAATAATGAAGATACAAGCAAGGAATTATCAACAATTACAAATGATGGGAAAAAAGAACAATGGACAACAATTTCTTTTTCCAAAGGAGGACATTGTTAACCCCCTGACAAAGGTCCTCGGCAGATGTGGGTTGTGGTAAGGATTTTCATGATGGCCTTGGCACACAACCTGAAAAATGGGGCAACATCATGAAGGGCTGCTCGGCATGACGGACAATGCAGGGTTCGACGAACGCACCTTGAACGGAAGCAAGGCGCATTTTACTTAGATGTGCGGGTTGGCAAAACAATGGCAAGGCAAAGCCATGTTAAGCAGGGGCAAAGACATGGCAAGGCAAGGCAAGGCAAGGCGGGACAAGCAAAGGCAAATGATACAGACAGATTTGATCAAGTTGGAGGCGACTTGACAAGGGCTGGCAGCTTTGACAATGAACGTGTGCGGCTAAGTCAGTGGATGGCAAGCTGTGGCAATGACATTAGCGCAGAGCAGTGTCAAAGACATGGTTGGGAGCAATGCCAGCCTTGGCACAAAGCAGCTGGGTGAAATCGGACCAAACTGTGCACAAGCAGCAGTTGGAAAAACATGTGCCAAGCACATGGGAAGCAGTTGGCAGTTGCAACCTCTTCTAAGACATACTGATCATGGCCTAAAAGTGTGCCCACGTTTTTGTACTTTGTCTTAACTTGTTGACCATCAGTTGGGGCTTTGTCAACTGATTTGTAGCCTTTAAATATTTGCCTAGGCTGTCCAAAACGGGGCAGAAACTTAGTCTAAGGCATTGTTAGCCAAAAATCGTCTAAGTATTTTCCTAAGGGTGGGAAAACTATTTTGGGGCAGGGAATTAGGGAATTCTTTGTCTTGGCCATAGGGTTGGCTTTTGTGTTCTTGTATTCACTCATTAATACAAGTTGGGAAGAAATTCCTGTATATCGTGTGCCTTTATTTACAGATTTTGCTGCCTATTTTCATTTCAAGTTCAAACGTCCCTAAAAATAAAACTAAGTGTTGGAAAGGCTGAAGTCAAGGCTGGGCTTGACTGCCGCACGGAGGTGAACCTCGGGCTGAGTTCGAGTGGCACAAATCACCCATGTGACAGACATCAAGGTGCAAAAGGTCCTCAAAAATAACCTATTGCAAATCCGATTAAACAAGCTAATGGCCTAGGTATCTCTGTCAAGTTATTCAATGCCAACACCTGTAAGTATTTAGAAACTCAACTCTTACAATATAAATCAAAAGATCACAGAAATACTACCCCATCACCACACACTAACAATCTTCAATCTTCGACTTCTTTGATTGGTGATCAAAATAAATTGACAGCAAAAAATAACTTTTCTATCCTATATGAAGAGCCCCTGGTTTTGAACAAAACCATTAAAGAAATTAATAATCAAAAAATTATTATTATTAATAAATCACATGCAAGTGAACAAATGTCACAAACTACCAATGATATTGACATGTTGGACACAATCGTGTCTTCTATTACAAATCCAACAAGTCAATTAGTTAAGGTGGCCATGCAAAATAACGTCCATAATGATCCTACTACCCCTATTAAAAATCACAGTACTACTAATAATACTACCCTTCCTAGTGAAAAAATTAGTAGCAATCCGTCCATTAACCACAATCTCAAGCAAGATCTTTCATCAAGATCTGCTTATCCACAAAGGCCTAAGCATGTTAGCCAAATGGCAATGACAGAAGAACATCCAAGCCGAATGGCTAAAAACCCAGTACACGCAAAGGATTTGGGAACTCAGCCTATAAACTCCACCCTTGGGGACTCAAACGACATGCAAAAGATATCCCCAATCATTACCCTATCAACCAATCCATCCCTTATACCTAATAGCTCCTCCTCACCTGATTTAGAGTTATTAAGTAACCTAAACACTGATCATAATGCCAACATTACCATCATCCCTAAGGAGGAGATAAAGACTTCTCCAAATTCTTCGACAAACCAGAATCACCATGGAAAACCTCCCACCTCTCCAACCTCAACCAGTAAACCCTCAAATAGTTTATGTTCAACCACATCAAGCTCAAAACTATAAACCTGTGTCATGGATGGAGATGGGTCTGATGGGCCATGCATGCACGTTCAATGTCCAGATAAATGGCCAGGACTCAATTACCATCCTCCACGACACTCAGTATCTAGCCCAGTTAGTGACAAAAGGCATGAGCATGGCTCAACAACATCCTTCAACCCTTAGCACCATCAGTGAACCCCCAGCTGGTTCATGCAATGAGGAACCAGTGGAACCTTCCTCCACATTTCAATCCAATTTATCCTCAAAATGCTTTAATGGACATGCCATTCTTCATGCCAAAGAATCTGTCTCAACTAAACCCTATTTTTCTTCCATGGGAACAACCTCAACCAATCTAGGAGCCTAAGATACCACAACAACCTCACTCCCCACCCCACAATCAAGTGCCTGTGCCAGAACTAGTAGATGCAGAAATGGAAGAGGAGGAGGAACCCCTAAACCTACTCTTAGAAAGAGTCCCAGAAATCTCAAGTCTCGACGGAGTAAAAGTGTTTCTCTTTTCGGAGAGGCAAAAGAAGATGCATATTCTCAGCTTCCCTCTAGCATTATACAAATGCTCGATGGACATAAGACATCCACAGGATCCAACTGTAGGCAATCGAGCCATGATTCTAGTTCCATCATTAAGGAGGAACCAAGTTCTAGGGGAAGTGAGGGAGAATGGGAATCCAGCCAACCAAAACCTTAATATTTCCATGAATCGACCTACTAACATTATCATTTGGAATATTAGAGGAGGGAACAATGATAACTTTAGAAGGAACTTCAGGGAAATGGTGGACACACATAGACCCTGCATGGTAGCCTTATTAGAAACCTGGATGGGAAATCACATGGAGCTTCTAGACGATTATGGTTTTACGGAGTTCATAGAAGTACCAGCTGAAGGCCAGGCAGGTGGGATTGTGGTCCTATACAATCATGAAATTGTCACCGTTCAGAATTTTGTTCGAAGGGATCAGGAGATTCATGCTACAATTGAGGTAATCCCTATTCGTCAAAAATGGTTGTTTAGTGCTATCTATGCTAGTACAAATATACTTCTTAGAAATAAGATGTGGGATAACATTGAAAGCATTAGTAATAGCTACAATGGACCTTGGTTATTAGGAGGAGATTTCAATGATGTATTCTGCTCAAACGAGAAATTTGGTGGTAATAGTATAAAAGATAGTAGGGCTAAATATCTTTGGTCTAAGATTAATAATTGTAATTTAATTGATTTAGGGTATAAAGGGTATAAGTACACTTGGTCAAACCTTAGGCACAAGAATAGGGGTTTGATTATGGAACGATTAGATAAAGTATTAGGCAATGAGGATTGGATTAAGCTTTTTCCAAAAAGTTCCATTATTCATTTGCCTAAAACCCACTCGGATCACAATCCCATTTGAGTAGAATTAATCCCAAAAAATAATATTCTTTATAAGCCTCCCTTTCGACTTGAAACCTACTGGTGTAAACACCCTTCTTTCAAAACTCTAGTCCAAGAAAATTGGTCTAATAATGATTACAATAGGGCTAGCAATTTGTTTATAGAAAAAGTCAAGGTTTGGAAACACCAAGCTTTTGGTGATATTATGGGAAAAAAAGGAAAATACTACCCCGACTTCAAGGCATTGAAAAATCCAAACATTAACCTTATAGTATTTTCCTCCAAAACCTACAAACTAGCCTTAAAAAGGACTACAATGACCTTCTACTAATAGAGGAAGATTACTGGAAGCTAAGGTCAAGAGTTTTATGGCTCAACGAGGGAGATGCAAACACCAAATTCTTCCATATCTCGGCTACTAATAGAAAAAGAAGAAATATGATCAATTTCTTCAAAGATGATGCAGGGAATTGGATTAACGATCCTAATCTAGTCACCTCCCATGTTAGCAATTACTTTAATTCTATCTTTACCACCTCCCACAAAAATTTTAGTAGAATTAGTCCTTTAAAAAATATCTCCCAAAATGCCTTAAACCTCAATAGCCTAGATAACCCCCTTCTTAGTATTGAGATTAAAAAGGTCATCTTCTCCTTTAAACCCTTTAAAGCACCCGGACCGGAGGGTCTACACACGTTGTTTTTTCAAAAGTACTGGGATATAATAAGCCCCCCTGTCACAAAATTGTGCCATGACATCTTTGAAACCCAAGAGATCCCCCATGATCTCAACAAAACTTACTTGTGTCTTATCCCAAAGATTCCCAATGCAAATAACATAAAAAATTGTAGACCCAATGGTCTATTCAACACTATTTATAAAATCATCACAAAGATCCTTGCTAATAGACTTAAACCTTTCCTTGACCAACTTCTTTGCCCTTACCAAGATAGCTTTATAAAAAATAGAAGGACTTCGGATAATGCTATTATCATACAGGAGCTTATTTCAAAAATCCAAAAGTTAAAGGGGAAACAAGGTCATATGCTTCTAAAAATCGACCTTGAAAAAGCCTTTGACCGTTTAGAATGGTCATTTGTGCACCACACCCTAACTTATTTCAATTTCCCTACAAAATTTAAGAAAATTCTCTTAAATTGCATCTCAACAAGCTCTATAGCTGTTATAGTAAATGGCTCTATTACTAGCTTTTTTCAACCAAGCCGGGGAATTAGGCAAGGAGACCCTATATCTCCTTACATATTCATCCTCTGCCTTGAAATGTTGTCACGTTATATAAACCATCAAGTTGACGTTAGAAACTGGGATCCTATTACATTAGGAAAAAAAAGTCCTAATTTCTCTCATCTTTTCTTTGCCGACGACCTTACCTTAATGGCCAGAGCCAATCTAAAATCAAGTCATACAATAAAAAAAGGTCTAGACCTTTTTTGTAATCTCTCAGGCCAAAATATTAACACCACCAAGTCAAAAATTATCTTCTCCACAAATTGTCCTCCAAATCTTACTAATGAAATTACCAGTATTCTTAATATTAAAAAGAGTGATTCCTTTGATACTTATCTGGGCTTCCCTATCCTTAATAAACACCCTAGACCAAAAGACTATCAATTTATCATTGACAGAATGAGAGCCAAACTAACAACTTGGAAAATAAAGTTCCTGAATAAAGCAGGCCGGACAACTCTCTCTCAAGCTAAAGACAAAAACTTTTGTAATCTTGCAAACCTTGCTTGGAGGACCATTACAAATCCTACGACTCCATGGGCTCAACTCATCATTAATGCCTATGCAAACACTAGGAATACTTCTTTCATATGGAAAAGTATTCAAAAGGGGTGGAAAATATGTTCCAAGGGTATCAATTGGCAGCTTCATCACCATTCTAACATGAATATTTGGGAGACCAATTGGATCCCTAACCTAGGGAGCCTTAGAAATACAATAGAAGGTCCTTTATCAAAAAATGACTATCACCTAAAACTAAGATATTTTTTATGGCAAGAAGTGGCACCTTGCTAATATATCCCTCAATCTTCCTGATGATATCAAGGATTTCATATCAAAAACAAAAATCCTTGTACAACGTCCTAATAATGATATCCCTATCTGGTCCCTCAATACAAAAGGTATTTTCACAACCAAAACTTGCTACTCCTTAATCAACACTAATGAGAACAATAATATGGATTTTAAGTGGATTTGGATCCTGCCATGCCCAAATAAGATTAATTTTTTTCTCTGGCAATGCCTTCACAATAGAATTCCTTGTAGACAATATCTCGCAAAAATTGGCCTTAATATAGATCCTCATTGCCCTATATGTAGAAATCATATAGATGAATCTATCACGCATATCTTCCTTAAATTACATGCAAGCAATCATATTTGGGAAAACATTGGATGGAAAATTTTTTATAGGGAGGGTGGGGAACATTGGCTAATCCAATTAAAAAATTTTAATTACCCCTTCAACAACAATTTGTTAAATTGGAATCTTTTCTTCTCTTTTGCAATTTGGTATATTTGGATTAATAGAAATAACAACAACCAAAATAATACCAATTTGCCAATAAACATTGACCTTATCATAAAGTGAGCTATTGAATTCCGCCTTTTAACTGAAACTAAGGTGATACCATCTTCAAAGCTCCATATTAAGGTTAGATGGCATAAACAATAGGATGGTTTAAATTGAACATTGATGCTAGCTTCCACAAAGACATGCAAATTTGTGGCCTAGGTGGGGTAATCAGAAATACTAAAGGAGACTAGATTGTTGGCTACAACAAATCTGCTCATGCAAACGGTTGTCTACAAGGTGAAATCAAAGCTCTACTAGAAGGATTAAAAACAGCCCACGAGTAGGGTTTGTTTCCACTTCAAATTGAAACGGATTTCACGGAGGTAATTCTATCAATACAACAAGGTAATAATCTATATGCTAACACTATTCTAAAATGCAGGTCGTTAATGCACCAACAGAAGCAAGTAATCCTCCAGCACGAATTCCGGCAAGGGAATAGGATAGCTCACCAGCTAGCACACATGGGAACTGCCAATGCAAGGAAGAAGAAGAAAGTTTTTGTTGCCCCCCCTGAAGATGTTAAAATCCTAGTAGAACATGATGTACTAGAACAATGTATTTTTGAAAAACTCTTATCATATGATGCTTGCAATACTTTAGCAAGCCTAGGTAATCAAAGTGTCCTATGTGACACTAACTACAAATCGCATGTAATGCATGTTCCGTAACTTTTAATATATATATTTTCGGTTTGCTAAAAAAAACTATCATTAAAGTTTTCTTCTTCATTGTAACTATCATTTGTAGCATAAACACTTTAACCTTAATAAAAATAAAAATATACTTGCCATTGTATAATTCTTTTCTTTTTTCATTTTTCATTCTGGTTATAAGTTATTTATTTACACTTTTATAAATTCCTTCAATTTTAAGTGAAATATTAGATTAGCTCCCGAGGTGAATCATGTCCCAAGCATGTTTGACTTAAAAGGGCAGCTCGATACACGATGCTCCCACTATACGCGGGGTCTGGGGAAGGGTTGTACCATTAGAGTTTGTTGTGCGCATCCTTACCCT